TTAGTCAATAGACTTGTCTATAGATTAGTCAATAGATTAGTCAGTAGACTAGTCCTTAGATTAGTCAATAGACTAGTCTATAGATTAGTCAATAGACTAGTCTATAGACTAGTCAATAGACTAGTCTATAGATTAGTCAATAGACTAGTCTATAGACTAGTCAATAGACTAGTCTATAGATTAGTCAATAGACTTGTCTATAGATTAGTCTATAAACTTGTCTATAGATTAGTCTATGGATTAGTCAATGGACTATTCTAAGGACTAGACTATAGATTAGTCAATAGACTAGTCTGTAGATTTGTCAATAGACTAGTCTGTAGATTTGTCAATAAACTAGTCTGTAGATTTTGGAAGTTAAAAAAATTATTAAATTTAAAATTTTCTTAAAAAAAGTAATTTTTAACCTATTTGTAGTAACTTTTAAGAGATTTTATTATGTCTCTCATATAATTCACAGAAAAAGGTCACACTGCAGACAATAATAAATTTAATAATTTTTAAATAAGAACCCAAATATTTGCCTCATCTTCTAACCATTATGTTTTTGCAGCAGCATATTCCACACACACACACACTTTCTCTTTAAATATTCTGTTTATTTAGTAATAATTATGAAAAATAAACTGTCTTAGAAATTGAAAAAGGTCACGGTTGCGAAAATACCTTTGTCAAAATCACTTGTTTAAACAATGATTAATTATAATTAAATGTTTAACATGATGTTTACAATAACAAAAAAATACACACGCAACGAAAACAAACAACTCTTTCCTTTCTTTTAACTAAACATCTCTATTTAGCATTTTTTAACACTAACCAAAAAAAAATTTAACAAAATTTGTTGTTAAAAATTATTTACAAATATTAATGGGTTAAATATGCTGTTCTTAATTTTAACACTTAAAAAGCTTAAATAAAAAGGAAACAACAAGAAAAGGAAACTCTAAAAACAGAAGAAACTTGAAATTAAAAAAAAAACCACAGAACGTATAAGTGTTGAGAAAAGTAGAAAATGTAACAAACAAAATAACACTCATACGCTGCGGAAAACAGCAACATCAACAACATATTTAAGGCCTCAATTTTTTAGCAAATATTGTAAGTGTATGTGTGTGCTGGTTTATAAATTTTCCTTTTTTTAACTCATTTTAATATTTCATATGAAAGTGAAACAGAAAAAGTTTTCTAGTGAATTTCAAAATATGTTTTAAACAAAAAATGAAACAAGTGTTTCAGTTTTGTTTTCTCCTTTCCACTTCCTGCAAACAACATGCTGAAAACAAAATTACAAAGTTTGTTTTGAACAATTCTGGGAAAAAAACTGAAAAAATGCTTTAAAAAAATGGAAAAAAATATTTATGGTTGCTACAGCAAAAACCTAAATGCCATAATTTAAACTTTAATAATGAGGAGTTTTGTGTTTTTCTACATTAAAATTAAAAAATGTGTTAATAAAATTTTTGTATATGTTTTTATTAAATTGTTAAACATATTCATATTTGTATGTAATATGAGCTGAAATAACAAATTTCATATGTATGTATTAAAGGATGTATGTTTGCATATGGAAACATAAATTTTAATGACATTTTCTTTAGTTAATTTATGATAATAAATATTGCATTTTTTTAATTACATAAATTTAGAAAATGTAAAATTTTTAAATTATAAAAACTTAATACTGAGCCTCAGTAACTGAGGACTGCAATTGAAACATATTGCCATACTATTGAGAATGGTTAGAATGAGTTTTTTCCTTACCCGACTTATAGCTGAAACTATAACAGACAGACGGACATAGACATAAAAAGTGATTCTGAGCCGATTGGTATATTTTAAGGTGGGTTGTAAGACCAATATTTTTGGGTGTTACAAACATCAGCACAAACGCATAATGATATGAATAACTGAATACTCTCCCAGAGGTAAAGTTCACATCATATGGATACCAGCCCACTCGGCAGTAGTCGGTAACGAAAGGGCGAATGTAATAGCTTCTAAAGGAAGGTAGCTCGAGGCAGTTAACCTGACAAACGCAAAACCATTCGATGCAACATAAGCTGAACTAAACGTATGGGTGAGAGAATCCCATAAGGCCTCTTGGAATGATGAAACAGTGGGTAGAACCACGAAGATCTTATGGGGCATGTGGAGAGGACAGTGAAATTCTGGAGCACTTTCTTTGCCACTGCCAGGCATTAGTCGAAGTTAGATCCAAGTATCTTGGAAGTGATGTTATTCTGGAAATAACATTCCTGACTAACACTGATTGGAAGATTCTTAGGTATAAGTAAGTTTTTCATGATAATGAGCGCACAACAGGCCCGATAGTGGCCTAGGTGTATTTCTTCGGATTTGATGTATTATACATCCTCCTATCAACCTAACCTAACCTTAGGGGTCATTTTTATTGTTTCATGCAAATGAATATTTTTGGGAATTTTTAATTTATTTAAACACATTGAAGCAATTTTGATAAAATTTTATAAATTGACATATTTAGTTACACTAAATGGTGCTATATTTGAAACTCGGGATCCAAGCCCTGCTTAGGGCCAAAATCGAGTGTATAATTGGCACTTTTTTTTAAATTAATTTTCGTACAAATGAATAGTACTTTTGGCAAAAACATAATTTTTAAGAATTTTATAATACATGGTACTGTTTGGATAAGAATAAGCCGTGCTGAATCCGAATCTGATCTCGGATTTTCTAAATTACATCTGGGATTTGAGATATCGTGTCCTGAAATTTGAAAAAAACGCCATTTTGGCTCTTTCTGAGAAGCTATAACAGCGATAAGACAACTTTATTTATAAAATGTTGTATGCCATCTGAAAGTTTATTATGTCAACTTTAAAGTAAAGGTTTAACATCTGACATATCTTCTATCTTTTTCGAGATATCATCGCCTAAAGCTTGTTATACAATAAATTGCTGCTCAATCCTTCAGAAAAATCTAGCTTGGTATCGGGGTTTAGACTTTTTTCAAATTTTATTGTCCTGTGTAATTGTAGCGAAGCACTCACAGTAAGCTATTTTAAAATATATAAATGAAAGGATGCAGAAATTATTCCACAAATAAATCCTCCACAAAATTTCATGGGTATAAGTTCATTATTGACTGACCCTACTTGTCATAAAACGTCTCAAATTGAAAATTACTTTATTGTCAATCAATTCAAAGTAAATATAAAGATTAATCTATAATACTTAAATCATCCTAAAGCCGATAATAATATCGAAAGATAAAAAGGATTTATTACTGACTATATAATAGTCCCCATTGCCGAATATATCACTTTAACTTATTGAAATCAGTTTATTAATCTAAACCAGGCTTGGGAGATAATGATTACATTTTCAATTACAGTTACATTTGAAGTAATCGCAATTGATGTTTTGCCAATTACAATAACTTGTAATTGTAATGGAAGTTTTTCCAATAACAATTACTTGTAATTGTGAATTTTGTTCGTTATAATTACATGTAATTAGCAATTTGTTATGCTTAAATTACAATTTATTTTATTTTATTTATTTCTTTATTTTCATTTTATTTAATCGAGCCCTAAAGGGCCATATATGATTAATATATTATAATTGGTAATGTTTGTACAACTATGTATAATCTAATTATATACATTTATATATATGAAATTACAATTTTATAAATTCTTTATGCTGGAAATTAGCTACATAAAATTCTCCAAGTATTTCTTTTTAATAACTGGAATGGAAAGATTGAAGTTCTTTAATTCAATGGGAAGCGAATTCCATAACCTTGATGTTCTTATTAAAAATGATCTCTCAAACGAGGAATTTGATATTCGGGGCAGTAATATATGAGGATTTCGCGTAGACTGCGATAAATTAAAGCATCTAAAAAGATTACAATTACAAGTAATTATAATTGAAAACTTCAATTACAAGTAATTGTAACTGGCAAAAATTCAATTACAATTACATGTAATTGTAATTCTTTATTGATCAATCACACATTACAAGTAACTGTAATTGGAAAAACTTCAATTACAAGTAATTGTAATTGGTTATTGCTCAATTAAACATTATAAGTAATTGTAATTGACATTGCAATGAATTACTTTGTGTAGTCATTACTCCCCATCCCTGATCTAAACTTTATACTGCCTTAAAATTTTATCTAACGCCCTGCATAACATTATATTTTAAAATCTAATTATTTTTAACATAGAGATATGTATGAAATATGTAAATAATTTAATAATTAACATAAATTATTTTTAAAGCTTAATTAAAAACAAATAGAAAATAAATTAAAAATATTTACACAAATTGCCATGAAATTAAAAATAAAGAAAATATTTTAATTTAATATTTACTACATAATTCGCCTTTAATTTCTGTTGATTTCTTTAGACCATTTCCTTTTAAATACATTTTTAATGTCATTTTATTTATCTTTAAGTTAATTATAACTTGTACGTTTTAGTTTTATTACGCTTTTTAGATTTTTCATTTACAGACTTTAACAACTTCCGTTTACATTTCCTTTAACGAATCCTGCTGCTAATGTTTTGAACTGTTGCAATATATTTTATTAAGTTTTTTTTTTCTTAAAACACTAGTTACAGTTTATTTTTGCAGGCAGTTATAATATTTAATTCTTTTTTCCTCAACATCTTTGTCTGCTAATTAGCTTTATGTTTTTTTGCAATAAAAAATAAAAAAATACAAGAACTGTTATAATACAGTTGTTGGCTGCTAATGAAAATATGTACTAGTTAGGAAGGAAGACAACAAAAACAACTAAAATGTCATGAAATTGTTTACATTTTTATTTCATTCAAAACAAATACAACAAAAATGTAAAACAACTTCTTTTGTATTGTTAAAACAAAACAACTCCCTGACTGACATGTTCTGTTTTTCTAACCCATGGAGTCATACATACTGCTATATCCTTCCTCTAACCCGCTCTTTTCTCTAACATTTCCCCTTAAACGTTTTGTTAGTTTTTTAATTTCTGTCATGCCTTCAAATTGTTTTACTTTGTTGCTGTTGTTTTCCTCGCCACACTATTTTTAATTACAACCGTTACTATTTTTAAACAAAGATTATATCATTACGTTCGGCATTTGGTTTGGGTACGGGGGGCTGACGTTGAAATGCATACACATTGACAATTAATTGTGCCAAGAAAATAAAGAAAAATAAAACGATTAGTGTTAAATATAAAAAAATATCGCGCCACATCACTACAACTGCAAGCACAAGCACACAAGCACACACTCTCACAAAGACACCCCAGCAATAAGGTTTAATAACAAACTTTACTCTTACTCCACTTAGCTTAAAGTGTGGGCGTGGTGTTTGTGAGATATTTTAAACCCTCTCTGACGTTAGTAGTGAGTAGCTTTTAATTTTTATTTATGTAGAATGCACGTGTATAATCAAAATGTCTCGTGTTGAGGTTAAAAAGAAAATATTAAAAAATTTTCCAACTGAAATAAAACTCAAGTATGAGGAGGAGAGTGTAAAAGTTAGAAGATGTAAATGGAGGTTAACTAACTGTTGGGATTTAATATAAGTTTTCCTGTTGTTTTTCTTTGCTGTTAGAAGTTGATGTAATGGATATTAATGTAACCACGTCATTTTCATTTTATTACTGCCAGTATGGTTTACCACCACCTGCTGCTTCTCTTCTAACTCCTGGTTGTCTATTGTGTGTTATTAACTGAAGAGCTGACTGGCTGATGTCTTAATGTTAATTTACGCTTGCTGGTTCTTTTGTTATGTAGATTTTATCTTAGTTTTTCTTGTAAACTCTATTTTCTAGTTTTTCCAGCAACTTAAAAGTTGTTTTAGTTTGTCAAATAAGCACCTGTATTAGTTTTAGTTTTTTTTGCGCTCTTTGCTACTGCTGTTTACTCTTTACTCTAGGCACTGAACTCAACTGCACTGCACTTTTATTGTCTAACGTTGCACTTTTGCCATGTGGTTGTTTTTTGCTTCGTTTGGCAGTTATAAAAAATTGCTTGGTTTATTGTTTAAATTGTTATTTTTTCTTGTTGTTCCAGCTTAAACTTATCTGGTTCAATTTAGTCGCTTTTTGTAGGTGTGTTTGTTTTATTTAAATCATGTTGTTGTTGTCTCTGCAGTTGCTCCCTTTTTGTTATTTTAACATTTGTTGCAATTTCGTTTGTTTCCTTTTCCTGTTTTATAACCCAGTAGTTACTGCTGCTACGTTTGCTCTTATTATTACTGTTGTTGTTGTTGTAGTTAAAACATTGTTCATACTTTGTTAGTTTTTTGTTATGCTTGTTATTTTCCACAATATTTGTCATCTTTTTGTTACTGTTTGCGTTTATTAAACAAGTCTGCTTTTCTGTGCGTTGTTTTTTTTTCACATCCGTTTCCGTATTATATTTTCTTTTAAAATAGCTCTCTTGCTAGCTTTAGGCATTATGTGTTAATATTTCTTTTTTTTTTCGGTGGGAATTTTTACACCTGTAAATAGTGTTAGAAAAAAAGTTGAAAATGTCAGTTTTAAGATTTTACATTTATTTTGTAAGGAAAATGTGTAAAATTAAGTCATGCGTGTAGAAGCTATAAAATCCATTTTAATCTTAAGATTTTTTTCTTGTGCTGAAATGATAAATTGTGCGTATGAAAATTTTGTACTTTTTTTGTATACTATAACGAAAACGTTTGAATACGTATATTAAAATTTAAAAAATTCGAAAACTTGACAATAAATTATACCCTTGAGTTAAGAAGGAAAAATAAAAGTAAAATCACGTTTTGGGTGATTCCTATTATACCTTGAGGTCTGGAAATTCTTCTTTTTACTAATTCAATGTCTTCAAGCTGAACTAGAAACAAGCACTAGAGAGGCTGGAAGAAACTGAATAGAACTGAACTAGAACTGAACTAGAACTGAACTAGAACTGAAAACTAGAACGGAAACCTAGACTGAACTAGAACTGAACTAGAACGGTGGAACAGACTAACAAGAACTGAAACTGAGAAACTGGACTAGACTGAACTGAAGAACTGAACTAGAACTGAACTAGAACTGAACTAGGAACTGAACTAGAACTGAACTAGAACTGAACTAGAAACTGAAACTAGAACTGAACTAGAAACTGAACTAGAACGGAACTAGAACTGAACTAGAACTGAACTAGAACTGAACGAGAACTGACTATAACTGACTCGAACTGAACTAGAACTGAACTAGAACTGAACTAGAACTGAACTAGAACTGAACTAGAACTGAACTAGAACTGAACTAGAACTGAACTAGAACTGAACTAGAACTGAACTAGAACTGAACTAGAACTGAACTAGAACTGAACTAGAACTGAACTAGAACTGAACTAGAACTGAACTAGAACTGAACTAGAACTGAACTAGAACTGAACTAGAACTGAACTAGAACTGAACTAGAACTGAACTAGAACTGAACTAGAACTGAACTAGAACTGAACTAGAACTGAACTAGAACTGAACTAGAACTGAACTAGAACTGAACTAGAACTGAACTAGAACTGAACTAGAACTGAACTAGAACTGAACTAGAACTGAACTAGAACTGAACTAGAACTGAACTAGAACTGAACTAGAACTGAACTAGAACTGAACTAGAACTGAACTAGAACTGAACTAGAACTGAACTAGAACTGAACTAGAACTGAACTAGAACTGAACTAGAACTGAACTAGAACTGAACTAGAACTGAACTAGAACTGAACTAGAACTGAACTAGAACTGAACTAAACTGAACTAGAACTGAACTAGAACTGAACTAGAACTGAACTAGAACTGAACTAGAACTGAACTAGAACTGAACTAGAACTGAACTAGAACTGAACTAGAACTGAACTAGAACTGAACTAGAACTGAACTAGAACTGAACTAGAACTGAACTAGAACTGAACTAGAACTGAACTAGAACTGAACTAGAACTGAACTAGAACTGAACTAGAACTGAACTAGAACTGAACTAGAACTGAACTAGAACTGAACTAGAACTGAACTAGAACTGAACTAGAACTGAACTAGAACTGAACTAGAACTGAACTAGAACTGAACTAGAACTGAACTAGAACTGAACTAGAACTGAACTAGAACTGAACTAGAACTGAACTAGAACTGAACTAGAACTGAACTAGAACTGAACTAGAACTGAACTAGAACTGAACTAGAACTGAACTAGAACTGAACTAGAACTGAACTAGAACTGAACTAGAACTGAACTAGAACTGAACTAGAACTGAACTAGAACTGAACTAGAACTGAACTAGAACTGAACTAGAACTGAACTAGAACTGAACTAGAACTGAACTAGAACTGAACTAGAACTGAACTAGAACTGAACTAGAACTGAACTAGAACTGAACTAGAACTGAACTAGAACTGAACTAGAACTGAACTAGAACTGAACTAGAACTGAACTAGAACTGAACTAGAACTGAACTAGAACTGAACTAGAACTGAACTAGAACTGAACTAGAACTGAACTAGATCTGAACTAGAACTGAACTAGAACTGAACTAGAACTGAACTAGAACTGAACTAGAACTGAACTAGAACTGAACTAGAACTGAACTAGAACTGAACTAGAACTGAACTAGAACTGAACTAGAACTGAACTAGAACTGAACTAGAACTGAACTAGAACTGAACTAGAACTGAACTAGAACTGAACTAGAACTGAACTAGAACTGACTAGAACTGAACTAGAACTGAACTAGAACTGAACTAGAACTGAACTAGAACTGAACTAGAACTGAACTAAAACTGAACTAGATCTGAACTAGAACTGAACCAGAACTGAACTAAAACTGAACTAGATTAAGAATTTCTTCAACATTTTTAATAATTCCTAGAAAAGTTTTAATCAAAATTAATAAAATTTTGTTTATGTTTTTTTCAGGTGAGTTTTTTGAATAAAATTAAAGAATCTTCTGAGTAAGTAGAATAAATAATGTGAACAATATTACAAATTCAGTATTTCCAATAACATTATGGAATTGTAATCTGAAAATTCTGCCACAAAAATCATGCATATAATTAATACAGATTACTGCATTTAATAAATTTTATAGTTATATAAATATTTATGTATATATTTCCTAATAAATATTATTACTATAATTTAATACATACTTTTATTTCTCTAATATAACATTTTGAAACTTTATATTACTTCAATTATTTTAATACAACTCTAATTAAAAGCAGAAACTTTTCAAACATTTCACACACACTTCCTTAACAAATGTATTATTATTAAGTATGTGAGGTGTAAAAATTAGTAGGGCTCCAAAATGTAACCGATATTTAAGCAACAAAAAAAGTTAATTCCAATTTAATATTAAATAGATTTTATCTTTAAAATATCTTATAATCAAAAATTATATTAAAAAGAATTCGAGATATGGTGCTATCCTAATGAACATAGCTGCAGACACTCTTACATATAAATATGTAATACAAATATGTATGTGTATGTATGTATATATGTACGTGTAAAATGTGCGTAATTAAATAAAAAACATATTTATACTAAACCATTTTAATTGCACTGTTCTATATAAAAAAGCAGACAAAAAAGAAACATACATTTCCTGCGATATAAAAATGACTTGTAAAAATAACAACTTCTCGCCATGGCAACACAAAGTTCCACATAGATTGTTTATTTATGCCTGGAAAGAAAAAAAACTAAAAGAAAACTGAACTAACTGTTAACTACGAATATTTCCTTTAACATACATATACAATACATGACAAGTAACCTAACATGGATACACTGAGAAAACACATTCCATTGTAACAAATTTTAAGATAATCGATAAAATACTTTGATTACTGCAACCGATATGTCTTTAAGCTAAATGAAGTACAATAAAAATAACTAAATTTATTTATTAGAACTTAGAAAAAACCTGTTAGCTGCAACTTAAGCTAAACAGTATGTGTTTCTCTCTGTGTACAAATACCTCTTAGACTTTTAATGCACTCATGCAGTAATACTTGCAAATCCCCTTACAACTTGAAGTTAAATTATCCAAATCAACTGACTGACTGAATGCCTGCTCAATAGGAAAAGGAAATTTTGAAAAAATAATGAAATACACATAGACACACTTGCACTCACACACTAACTAGCACTACTCGTATGCATGCACTAACACTTTCTACTAAACTTAAACAGAAAGGGTTTTAAGGATATACAGTTTTGGCACTAA